GGGTGCTGGGAAGCAGGAGAAGGATGGATGGGTGGGGGGAGAGCGGTGCAGAGCACCCTGGGCTGCTTTTTGGGGTGACTGAGCCCCCCCACTTCACCTCTGCAGCTCCCAGGGTGGGGTACTGCAGCGCGTGGGGAGGAGATCTGCACTGCTTGAATATTCAACTTTAAAAAAAAAAATCAGGAAAAAAAAAAGAAAAAGGAAAAAAAAAAAGAAAAAAGAAAAAAAAAGAGCCAACAACCCGCAGCCCCCGGCCAGATGGTAACTCTGCTGGGGATTTTGCTGAAATTTATTTTCTCTCGATTTGGCAATATGTGATTTCCAACGCTGATAATCATCTTTGTGCTTGTGGAGTGTCTGCCTTTGGAAGATCCCAAAATAGGCAGCGATATCGAGCCGGGTGGAAGGGGGAGGCGGGAAAGGGGAGCTCGGGGCTGGTTGTCCAGTTGGGGAAACTGAGGATGGAAGATTCCCTCTGCCCTCCCCTTCCTTTTGCTCTTCTTCCAGTGGTCATCCCAGCTTTTTCTGGGAGGTGTGGGGTCCCTGGTGGCGTGGGCACGGCTTCTGACCGGGGTTCTCCTTCCTTTCAGGTGACCTTCACCAAGCGCAAGTTCGGCTTGATGAAGAAGGCCTACGAGCTGAGCGTCCTGTGCGACTGCGAGATCGCCCTCATCATCTTCAACCACTCCAACAAGCTGTTCCAGTACGCCAGCACCGACATGGACAAGGTGCTGCTCAAATACACCGAGTACAACGAGCCCCACGAGAGCCGGACCAACGCCGACATCATCGAGGTGAGGCCGCCCGTCCTCTTTGCCGTCGTGGTGGAGCCCGGGCCGGGGCCAACACCGCAGCTTGGTGGGGATGGGAGCCAGCAGATCTCCAACACTGGGATGATTTTGCATCTTTTTAGTCCAGCCTACAAAAATACTCAGTTCTGGAGAGAGTTTGAAGCTGTCTGGAGTAGTGTGTTGATCTGCTGCCGTAAAATTGAGGTGCAGGTTTGCTTTGTTGGACGTCACCGTGGTCCAGGCAGACCAGGGATGGTTTTGGAGGCCTCTCCTGGGGCTGCTCTACTGGGTTCCAGAAATACTCAGTTCTGGGTGGTGGAGTTTGAAGCTATCTTGAGTTATGTGTTGGTTTACTGCCATAAAATTGAGTTGCAGGTTTACTTTGTGGGACTTTGCCATGGTCCAGGCAGACCAGGGATGGTTTTGGAGGCATCACCCAGGGCTACTCTACTGGGTTCCAGAAATACTCAGTTCTGGGTGGTGGAGTTTGAGTCAATATCTCAATTTATGTGTTGACCTACTGCCATAAAATTGAGGTGCAGGTTTTCTTTCTGGGACTTTGCTGTGGTCCAGGTAAACCAGGGATGGTTTTGGAGGCATCTCCTGGGGCTGCTGCCCTGGGTTCCAAAAATACTCAGTTCTGAATGGTGGAGTTTGAGGCTTTCTTGAGTTATGTGTTGATCTGCTGCCGTAAAATTGAGATGCAGCTCTACTTTGTTGGACTTCACCGTGGTCCAGGCAGACCAGGGATGGTTTTGGAGGCATCTTTTGGGGCTGCTGTGCTGTATTCCAAAAATAGTCAGTTCTGGGTGATGGAGTTTGAAGCTGTCTTGAGTTATGTGCTGATCTGCTGCCGTAAAATTGAGTTGCAGATTTGCTTTGTGGGACTTTGCGATGGTCCAGACAGACCAGGGATGGTTTTGGAGGCCTCTCCTGGGGCTACTCTACTGGGTTCCAGAAATACTCAGTTCTGAGTGGTGGAGTTTGAGTCAATCTCAATTTATGTGTTAATCTGCTGCTGTAAAATTGAGGTGCAGGTTTGCTTTGTGGGACTTTGTGATGGTCCAGGCAGACCAGGGATGGTTTTGGAGGCATCTCCTGGGGTTGCTGCACCGGATTCCTCGGTTCCTCTTGTTTCAGACACCGGGGTGAGGTTGTGGGAGGGCACCAGTGGCTGAATGACAGTCATTCAGGCTGGGAGGGACCTTTGGCGTGCTCAAAGCATGGCCAACCTCAGGGGGAGGTGGGGTTGCTCAGGGCTTGCTCGGCTGCATTTTGTGGTTCTCCAAGGGTGAGTCCAGTCTGACTGAGGACACCGTGTCCAAACCCCACCGACGCCAAGGCCACCTCCTCCTCCAGCCTGGTGCATCTCGGCCAGACCACTCGGGCTTTGATTTCATGAAGGAGAAGGGAAAAACCCAACCTACCTCCTAAATCTTGATTTTTTTTGCTTTTTTTTTCTCCATGAAATGTGTCTTTTTCACAGAATCACATGGGGTTGGAAGGGACCTCTGGAGATATCTGGTCCAACTCTTTGCCAGAGCAAGTCCACCCAGAGCAGGTCCCACAGGAACATGTCCAGGTGGGGTTTAAAGGTCTCCAGAGAAGGAGACTCCACCACTTCTCTGGGCAGTCTCTTCCAGGGCTCTGCCACCCTCACAGGAATGAAGTTCCTCCTCATGTTGAGGTGGAACTTCTAATATTCAAGTTTATTCCCATTTCTTCTTGTCCTGTCTCTGGACACCACTGGAAAAAGCCTGGCCCCATCCTCCTGACACCCACCCTTGAAGGATTTCCAGGCGTTGATCAGATCCCCCCTCAGCCTTCTCTTCTCCAGACTCAAAAGCCCCAAGTCCCTCAGCCTTTCCTCCCAAGAGAGATGCTCCAGGCCCCTCATCATCCTCGTAGCCCTTTGCTGGACCCTCTCCAGCAGTTCCCTGTCCTTCTGGAACTGGGGAGCCCATAATTTTGAGAGGCTTGGACTTGGAGGTTCTCCCCTGCTTGTCCTCCCCCTTCCCTCCTGCCGCAGAAGTGCCTTGAGCCGTGGCCGAGCCACCAGGCAGGACCTGTGGGGGTTTGGAGACTCTTCTGCCAGGGGGCCTGGGAGATGGTTGAAAAAAAATGTCCTTTTTTAGCCTGTTTCAGGCAGGTAGTGCCCGTGGGCTGTGAAGACGCCGGGGTTTTGCAGGCAGGGCTCCCCGCCGTGCTCGGCAGCGCAGAGGATGCTCGGGCTCGCGGCGTCGGAACAGATTTGTCTTGGCCTAAAAATACCGTAAACATTTTGGGCAGCGTTCTCCCTTCCCTTATGGTCCAAGATGCAAACACTCCCCGAGCCGACGAGTTACACACCGTCCTTGGCACCCAAAGAAATAGCTGTGTTTGCACCACATGAAAAATAGCTGGAGCTGAGTCCAAAGCCGGGGAGAGGAACATCGGGAGCGGAAGGATGTTGGTGGATAGCTATCTTGAGTTATGTGTTGGTTTACTGCCATAAAATTGAGTTGCAGGTTTACTTTGTGGGACTTTGCCATGGTCCAGGCAGACCAGGGATGGTTTTGGAGGCATCACCCAGGGCTACTCTACTGGGTTCCAGAAATACTCGGTTCTGAGTGGTGGAGTTTGAGTCAATATCTCAATTTATGTGTTGACCTACTGCCATAAAATTGAGGTGCAGGTTTTCTTTCTGGGACTTTGCTGTGGTCCAGGTAAACCAGGGATGGTTTTGGAGGCATCTCCTGGGGCTGCTGCCCTGGGTTCCAAAAATACTCAGTTCTGAATGGTGGAGTTTGAGGCTTTCTTGAGTTATGTGTTGATCTGCTGCCGTAAAATTGAGATGCAGCTCTACTTTGTTGGACTTCACCGTGGTCCAGGCAGACCAGGGATGGTTTTGGAGGCATCTTTTGGGGCTGCTGTGCTGTATTCCAAAAATAGTCAGTTCTGGGTGATGGAGTTTGAAGCTGTCTTGAGTTATGTGCTGATCTGCTGCCGTAAAATTGAGTTGCAGATTTGCTTTGTGGGACTTTGCGATGGTCCAGACAGACCAGGGATGGTTTTGGAGGCCTCTCCTGGGGCTACTCTACTGGGTTCCAGAAATACTCAGTTCTGAGTGGTGGAGTTTGAGTCAATCTCAATTTATGTGTTAATCTGCTGCTGTAAAATTGAGGTGCAGGTTTGCTTTGTGGGACTTTGTGATGGTCCAGGCAGACCAGGGATGGTTTTGGAGGCATCTCCTGGGGTTGCTGCACCGGATTCCTCGGTTCCTCTTGTTTCAGACACCGGGGTGAGGTTGTGGGAGGGCACCAGTGGCTGAATGACAGTCATTCAGGCTGGGAGGGACCTTTGGCGTGCTCAAAGCATGGCCAACCTCAGGGGGAGGTGGGGTTGCTCAGGGCTTGCTCGGCTGCATTTTGTGGTTCTCCAAGGGTGAGTCCAGTCTGACTGAGGACACCGTGTCCAAACCCCACCGACGCCAAGGCCACCTCCTCCTCCAGCCTGGTGCATCTCGGCCAGACCACTCGGGCTTTGATTTCATGAAGGAGAAGGGAAAAACCCAACCTACCTCCTAAATCTTGATTTTTTTTGCTTTTTTTTTCTCCATGAAATGTGTCTTTTTCACAGAATCACATGGGGTTGGAAGGGACCTCTGGAGATATCTGGTCCAACTCTTTGCCAGAGCAAGTCCACCCAGAGCAGGTCCCACAGGAACATGTCCAGGTGGGGTTTAAAGGTCTCCAGAGAAGTAGACTCCACCACTTCTCTGGGCAGTCTCTTCCATGGCTCTGCCACCCTCCCAGGAATGAAGTGCCTCCTCATGTTGAGTTGGAACTTCTAATATTCAAGTTTATTCCCATTTCTTCTTGTCCTGTCTCTGGACACCACTGGAAAAAGCCTGGCCCCATCCTCCTGACACCCACCCTTGAAGGATTTCCAGGCGTTGATCAGATCCCCCCTCAGCCTTCTCTTCTCCAGACTCAAAAGCCCCAAGTCCCTCAGCCTTTCCTCCCAAGAGAGATGCTCCAGGCCCCTCATCATCCTCGTAGCCCTTTGCTGGACCCTCTCCAGCAGTTCCCTGTCCTTCTGGAACTGGGGAGCCCATAATTTTGAGAGGCTTGGACTTGGAGGTTCTCCCCTGCTTGTCCTCCCCCTTCCCTCCTGCCGCAGAAGTGCCTTGAGCCGTGGCCGAGCCACCAGGCAGGACCTGTGGGGGTTTGGAGACTCTTCTGCCAGGGGGCCTGGGAGATGGTTGAAAAAAAATGTCCTTTTTTAGCCTGTTTCAGGCAGGTAGTGCCCGTGGGCTGTGAAGACGCCGGGGTTTTGCAGGCAGGGCTCCCCGCCGTGCTCGGCAGCGCAGAGGATGCTCGGGCTCGCGGCGTCGGAACAGATTTGTCTTGGCCTAAAAATACCGTAAACATTTTGGGCAGCGTTCTCCCTTCCCTTATGGTCCAAGATGCAAACACTCCCCGAGCCGACGAGTTACACACCGTCCTTGGCACCCAAAGAAATAGCTGTGTTTGCACCACATGAAAAATAGCTGGAGCTGAGTCCAAAGCCGGGGAGAGGAACATCGGGAGCGGAAGGATGTTGGTGGATGGCAAGGAAAAGAACCCAAAACCGCGCCGGGCTCGGCACGTCGCGCCGGCAGAGCCGCCCCGGAGCAAAACCCCCCGGGATGAGGCAGGTTTTGAGGCCGCTGGAGCATCTCTCCTCATCCTCGGTTCATCTTGGAGCAGGGTTAGGGCTGCTCGAGGATTTTTACTCTTTTTTTTCTCCCAAATCGCCCACCCTGGGGGCTGATTTCCATCTCCCCTCTATGCCCACCACACACAGACCTGGTTTATCTTGTGTTTCTTGGTGGCTCCCAGTTGAACTTGACTCTTCCAAGGGCCCTTCTCATCCTCGAAGCTTCCCCAGCATCAAGCATTTATTGAGCCCTGAAGGCAAAGACTGGAAATTTCCTACCAAATAGGATTTTCCATGGATTTTAAGGGGTCGCTGCACGTATC